AAACCACAACCTTGAACATATGCAACATCACAACCTCGATGTGAAACCTGTAACAACAGACTTCAGAGGAACCCTACCTGCAGGTTCCAGGTTTCCTCCACTGACTCTGCTGGTTGCCATAATTGACTGTTTGGTGTGTCTTGTCATAAGGATTCCTTCCACCAAAACCAAAGGCATCCAGAAGTAAATGGCCCCTTGCACACTTGGTATACAGATTAACACATAATGTAACTTTTACTATGGTTAACTTAAAACATTTTATAAGAATCAGGCATTAGACTGGGGATGCGGCTCAAGCGGTAGCGCGCTTGCCTGGCATGCGCGGGGTGCTGGGTTCGATCCTCAGCACCACACAAAAAATAAAGATGTTGTGTCCACCGAAAACTAAAAAATAAAGATATTTAAAAAAAAAAAAAGAATCATGCATTAAGGCTAAAAAGTACATCCATTAAAAATTCACTGAGATTGAAACTGAAGCAACATTATCTCTTAATATAAACATACTCTATGTCTAAGAGGAAACTACTCTTCAGTTATGGCAATGGCAGACTAAACAGCACTGCAGAAGAGCGAATGTGCATCCTAGACTAAGGGAGATGCACTGTGGTTTACTTACGTGGGTAAACTAACCTGAAACAGAAATATACTTTGGTTAATTCTGAAACGTATCATTTTACAAAACAATCCTAAAAAGCAAAACTAAATTGTGATTTATTAGTTAATTTTAAATTGTTTAGATCGTTTTGAAAAAACAAAAATAAATGTGACACTTCTTTGGTCACTGTGCATAACATGAATATTTTATATAATCTCACTCAGGTGTACTAAATTATATAAGTTGTATTTCAAAATGGTTTGAAAGCCATTAGTCTAGGAATATGAAAATGAGGAGTGGTTTAAAGGATTCCAGTATCAGTATGGGCAAACAGGCTGCACCATCTACAAAACCTTTTCTAGCACATGTGGTTGGAAGCCTACTTCTACTACAGGCAATTTTAATCCTAGACTTGGGAACCTGGTCTCAGTTAAACAGGCGGGCTTAGTTGACCCTGAAGGACAACAGCGTTTCTCCCTCTTCTTTTAGGTACGCGCAGAAGAGACCAGTGCATGTGAAGGAAGCAATACTGCAACTGAGAGTAAAAAGAAAGCGCTAGAACTGAGAAGTAAACTCAGGAAGGATCAAGGTTCTAAAGCTCATTTCTGGAAAAGAAAGAGAACAAATAATTTTTCCTGAATACTCCCGTGTAAGGAATTTAAGAGTGAGTCCAGACTTGAAGAATAAGGTCGATACCATCTGTGATGGTTAGTTTTGGGTCAAGTTAGCAGGTGTTTTTAGAAAAGATTTAACATTGAAATTGGTGACCTGCGGACTAAAACTGTACTACTGGCTCTCCTGAGACTAGCCCATAAGCCACACTGCAGGTGTTGGACCTGCCAACCTCCATGACCACATGAACCCACCTTATCATACATAAATAAATACACATTCACATAGCCTGTTGGTTCTGTTTCTCTGGAGAGCTTAATACACCATCAGAGGTTCCAAAACCACTGGGAGATTTTAAAGGAGGTCACATTTACTTATGGAGATTAAGAAAAATTCATGAAACACATTTTTTTACTCAAACGTCAAAAATATTTATTTATTAAGAATCTAGTAGGAGCCAGAGACTATTGTAAGTACTGGAAAAATGGCAGCGAACCATATGGACACGGTCCCTTTGTGGAACTTGCATGTTAAATGTAGCAATCACACAAATACACATTATGATGTCAGGTAGTGCTAAGAGCTACAAAGTAAAACAAAGCAGGATGAGGGTAAAAACAGTGGTGCAAGGAAAAAGAGCGGTCATCAGTCTATTTTCTTTGTTAATTTTTAATTTTCATTTTATTTTTTTGCAGTACTAGAGATTGAACCCAGGGACACTCTACCACTGATACAGCCCAAGCCCTTTTTTATTTTAAGACAAAGTCTTGCTAAGATGTCCAAGCTGGCTCCTCCTCCTCAGTCTCCTGAGAGGCCGGGATTTTAGGACCATGCCACCACGCTCAGCACTTAAGTTTACCTTATAAGGAAGACTTCTCTGAAGAGAAGCTTATATTTGAGAAAATACCTGCACAATGGCAGTGAGCTACACAAAGATGCATGGTAAGTTTGGGGGCAGAGAAACACCCATGAAGAGAGGCATGTGCTGGAGACACCACAGAGTGAGGCAGAGTATAAAAAATGGGATATGAAAAAAAGCCAGGCCATGAAGGGCCTGGCAGGAGAAGTAGAGACTAGATTTCATTCCAAGTGTGATGGGATGTCACTGAAGAGCATGACAGGAATTTTTCTGTTGTTCATTTGTGGAAGTGGGGATTGAATCCAGGGTGCTATCAACTGAGGTAAATCGCCTGTCCTTTTTTTTTTTTTCAAATTTTTATTTGGAGACAGGGTCTCATTAAGTTGTCCAGACTAGCTTAGAACTTGCAACATTCCTACCTCAGTCTCCTCAGTAGCTGGAATTACAGGCCCTCTGCCAGCACACCTGGCTATGGCATGTTTGCTAAAGCTCTTACAACCACTATATTAAGGACTGACTCTAGTTGGCATGGTGGCACAGGCCTATTATCCCAGACTCAGGAGGCTAAGGCAGGAGGATGACACGTTCAAGGCCACCCTGGGCAACTAAGCAAGACCCTGTCTGGAAATAAAAACAGAAGAGAACAGGGGGAGGTAGCTCAGTGGTAAAGCACTCCACATTAAAAAGAATTATCATGGGCTGGAGTTGTGGCTCAGTGGTAAAGCACTTGCCTAGAATGTGTGAGGCCCTGGGTTCAATCCTCAGCACTACATAAAAAATTAATGAATAAAATAAAGCTATTAAAAAAAAGTTGCCTCATTTAAAAAAGAAGAACTGATCTAGAAGGGATCAGTAAAAGTAAAATCACAAAGACATTTAAGATGGGGTTTGATGAAGTGGAATAGTATGTATAAACTGATAAACTTCAATGAAAATTCAAAAAGTTGAATACAAAGCTACAAAGAAGAGTCTGAAGAGTCATCTGCTTAGGGATTAAAGTTCTGAGAGTTAATGTCATCCCTAATAAGAGTATATAACTAGGGCTGGGGATGTGGCTCAAGCGGTAGCGCGCTCGCCTGGCATGTGTGCGGCCCGGGTTCGATCCTCAGCACCATATACAAACAAAGATGTTGTGTCCGCCAAGTACTAAAGAATGAATATTAAAAAATTCTCTCTCTCTCCCCCTCTCTCTTAAAAAAAAAAAGAGTATATAACTAGAGAAGAAAGAGTGTATTTAAAGGTTCAAAAACGAAGCTGAGGATGTGGATCAATGGTAGAGCACTTACATGTATGAGGAGCCACTGGATTTGATTTTCAACACCACATATAAATAAATAGATAAAATAAAGGACCACTCACAACTTAAAAAAATATTTAAAAAATAAAAGTTCAAACAAGAAGTTGACTCAGTTAAAAAAAAAAAAAGAAGATACAAAGGGTAAGATGGAACCCAAGAGAGTACTTGAGAGAAGCCAAAGGTGCAGAGTTACACAAAGCTATACTATCAAATCTATGAAATGATTGAGGAGCTGGAAAGAATAAACCAAAGAATTTTATAAGATAGCGATTTCAAGACGGTTAGAAATCTTTGTTGAGACCTAGGAAGTATGTATATTTTACTGTGACTTTTTTAAAAAGTTGACTTTGAATTGACTGGCAAGGAAAGTTATTGAGGTGGGCCCAGCCTAATCATATAAGCCTTTTAAACGAGGTCTAAAGAGCAAAGGCAGGGAAATAGGAGACTTTGAAGTCTGAGAGACAAGCTCCTGGTAGCCTGCAAAAAAGCAAATATGCATATTACTGAATGGCCTATGGAGGCCTTATGGCAAGAAATTGATGGCAGCCTCTATAAGCCGAGGGCAGTGTCTGACAGGAGTTAACAAGAAAATGGTGTTGTTTTCTTCTTTACTTCCATAACTGCAAGGGACTTAATTTTGCCAACAAACTGCATAAGCTTGGAAAATAATCTCCAAATAAGAACCACAGCATGGCCATAATTCTGATTGCAGCCTGTGTAATTCTGAAAATTCAAATCATTCACAAAAGACTTCCAGGCTAAAAACTGTCAGGCAACCAATGGGTGTTGTTTTAAGGAGCTAAATTTGTGGTACTTGTAGCAATAGAAAATTAATAAGGCCCCACTTCCCTGTGGAAGAGGCTGCTTCTTTTATTTTACCCCAGCAATGAATAGGGAGAGAAGCTAACTAGAAGAGAAAAACAAGGCTTGAATTTTATGATTTCTAACTCACTAAGGCTAGGGATTTTATTTGATTAGTACAGGAGTCACAATATCCATTTCTTCAATACAACATTTTGCCAAAATAATAACGATGTTCTGCAAACCGTGAGCAATGGAAATAGGTCTCTTACTTTCAATTTTAAGAAGTTACTTTGATAAGTTATGAAAAACTAAAAAGAAAAGAAAGAACAAAACTGAGTGCCAGCCACAGTCGTCCCAGCGCCTGGAGACGCAGAACCCCAGGCTCATCTCAAAATGAGCACAAGGTCATGACTCTGTCCTTCCTCAATCGAGTATCAGGGGTTTCAGCTCCATCCACGACAAGGGGCTCTGCTGAGTAAGAGCAGCCCCAGGTGTTCCTAGCCATCCCGAGTCCCTCCGGCCGGTTACAGCCGGGACCCTCGAGCCGCGGGCTCCGGGGAGCGTAGACCCCTCTGCGTTAGTGATGCGGCCGGCCGCCGCGCGGCCAGCCGGGAGCTGTAGTCCTCCACCTGACCTTCACATCGGGACCCGCCGCGCTCAACCGGCGCCGGGCCTGGGGGCTGGCCCTCGCCGTCCCCGTCCCCGCCCCGCAGCGGCGACAGTCCCGGCGTCCTGCGGTCCCGCGCACGCCCCTGCCCGACCCGGCGGCGCCCGGCCCGCTCTCCGCTGCCGCCGGGAATCACTTCCTACGCGCTCGGGGAGCCCGCGCTCACCTGGGCGGCGGCGCTCACGCCAGACAGCTGACAGGCCCGCAGCATCCCGACTTAGCGGACGGCGAGGCCGGTGTACGCGGGAGCGGCCGCGGCGGCGCGAGAGAAGCAGTGCGTGCGTGCGTGCGTGCGTGCGTGCGTGCGTGCGTGCGTGCGTGCGTGCGTGCCCGCGACCGCTCTGCCGCCGCGCTGGGCCGCCCGCCCACTGAGCAGGCGCGGCCCCGCCCCTCGCCCTGCGGCGGAAGGGCAGGTTCTCCTTCCGGGCAGCGCTGGGCGCAGTCCCGTAGCCCGAGCCGGGGTTCCTAGGTGAGCAAACCTGGACCCCGAGCTGCGCGGTGCGGCAGGTGTGTGTGCCTCTCGGGAAGGCTAAAGCGAGAAGCCGCCCGCCGTCTCCTACAGCTGGAGGTTCTGTAGGAGGGAGGCTACTCGGCCGAGTTGCGTAGACAATGGAGCCGACTCGCTTTGGGGTGGTGGTGCGGGCCGGCCTCTGCCTCACGCGCTCCGGGTGGGCCTAAAGAGAACGCTGGCCGCGGTTTTGGGTGGGCTGGAGGCGAGCCGGCGCGGTCCCCGCTTCACGCCGTTCCGCCGAGCCTGGTGAGGCCAGCACGTGGGCTTGAACACGAATTAGGCTCCAGCGTGGCGGACTACCAGTGCCATCGCCTGATGTCCTAGAGACCACCGGTGTTGGCTGCCGTTGTGCTCGCCAGCACGTTCAGGTCTTGCTAGTAACTTAGGGCGAGGGAGTGTGTTACAGAGGCCAACCGCGCTACCACTCGTTGGCAAAACAGAAGTTAGTTTGGAAATTATCTAGAAGTAAGATAATTATGGCTGTGTGTGTTCCGTGTGTTTAGAAATCACATGATACTCGGTTTCCAAATTCCATCACCTAAAGGCTCCAAAGCAGCCTCCCGTTGTTTAGTATTTTGACAGTCCCGCCCCGTCCTTGAGACCCAACACTCGTCCTTGAACCTCTCCATGCCAATGAGCGCTTACGTACTCCTATGGCCCTGTCCAGCCACATCCACAACTTACACCTCAACCTCTTTAGCAACCTCTTCAGCTTCAAGATCTCAGCCCTAAAAATTAATTAATTTTCTAATTCCTCGTGATATCAAATCCTTACTCCTCAGCCTCCATGTGCGGGTTATGATTTTTTTTTTTTTTACCATAAAATGTTATCAGGACTCTACTAAAGTAACTTGGATATTGAAGTCATATCATTTCCTTATGTAAAAGCATGCATTGAGCCAGTGGTGTAGGACACACTTATAATCCCAGCTGCTTGGGACGCTGAGGCAGAAGTCCTGGAAAGTTTGAGGCCAACCTGGGCAATTTAGCCAGACCCTGTATCTCAAAATAATACTAAAAGAAAGGATGAGGCAGCATATGGATCTTGCATGGAGGTAGAGCACTTGCCTAACATGTAAAAGTTCTTAGGTTAAATCCCTAGCACTGCAAAAATAATAAAAACAACCCAGTGACTCCTTCTCCAATTCATAAAGCCTTTGTGGATGTCAGTATAATTTTCAGCATATATAAATGTTTTGGGATTCAGTGGCCACCATAAATGTGAAAGCAATATGGCAGCAATAGTTCCAAGCTCATCATCCACTTATACACCCTGTATCTCAGACAAACTCAAGCATAATCATCTAAAATTTAATCCAGGGGACCCTGGAGAACCAGAGGACTTTTCAGAGGGTCCAAAAAGTGAAAACTTTACATAATATAAAGCATTATTTGCCTTTTTATACTCAACATCTCGTTTTTTTTTAATAGGTGGACACAATATCTTTGCTTTATTTTTATTTATTTTTTTGTGGTGCTGAGGATCAAACCCAGTGCCTCATGCATGCAAGGCAAGCACTCTCCCTCTGAGCCACAACCCCAGCCCCAACATCTCTTTTTTTTTTATTGTTTTTTAATTGTGGATGGACACAATATATGTTTGCTTTATTTATTTTTATATGGTGCTGAGGATCGAATCCAGTGCCTCACACATGCTAGGCAAGTGCTCTACCGCTGAGCTACAACCATAGCTTTCATCATCTTATATTTGTATAGCAGTTTCACCAGAGACTGCCTGACTTACATTATTCCAAGAAACCGAATGCAGAAGCAAATTTCAAGAATCTGGTATTTTGTTATCCTAGACTTGAAAAGATTTTCAAAAAGGTAAAACAATACCACTCACTTTATTTTGGAATATCATTTATAAAAATGTTAGGTTAACATGTAATGGGTCTATAATTGTATCTCTGAGTGTTGTGGTGGGGAATGGAACACAGGAATGCCTACCACTGAGCTACATCCCCTGTCCTTTATGTTTTATTTTCAAACAGACTCTGGTTAAATTGCCCAGGATAGCCTCAAACTTCTGATTCTCCTGCCTCAACTTCTCAAGTTGCTAGAATTTACAAGTGTGTGCCAATTTGACTGGCTTATCATTTTTAAATAAATTACTAAGTGTGACAAGCAGAATAATGGTCCCCCAAAGATGTCTACTTTTTCCTGATCTCTGGAGTATGTTATCTTACATGATAAAAGGAATTCTGTAGATATGATTAATGATCTCTTGCAGGGCTCTGTAGTGCACACCTGTAATCTCAGGGACTCTAATCCCAGGGAAGCTGATGGAGAAGCATTGCAATTCAGGACCAACTTCAGCAACTTAGTAAGACCCTGTCTCGAAACAAAAAAATATGAAGCTGATAACAGCTCAGTGACAAAGCATCCCTGGGTTCGATCCTCAGCACCAAAAAAAAAAAAAAAAAAAAAGTTGAGAACAAGACACCAAGAGATCAGCATCTGGCATATATTGATTTTAGCCCTGTGAAACTCATTTTGGACTTCTTACCACAGAACTATAAGATAATTTTTGTCATTTAAGCAACTGTTTATGGCAACTTGATAGAGCAGTCATAGGAAATTGACACAATAACTTTAATTTTTCTCAATTTTCAATACCATAAATACCAATAGATGCAATCCATATAAGTGAAAGTTCTTGAGGATGAATTTTTTTTTTTTAAATGGGACTGTGCTTTTTTGCCCAGACTGGTCTCAAACTCAAGAGCTCAGTGATCCTCCTGCCTCAGCCGCCCAAGTTGCTTGTAAAGCACAGACTGCCATACCTCGCTCCTCAGTAACTTTTAAGAGTGTAAAAGGTTCTAAAACCAAAAATTTAAGAACCACCCCTCTAAATGAATGTCCTTACCTTAGTTAAAATCCTCCCCATTGTTAAGGTCCATCTTACAATGTACCTCCTCATTCCAGATCGCTCCAACCAGAAGCTTCCCTCCTCTCCTTTGATCTGCCCCAGTGAGCCCCTATGTTGTCTTAATTATGTTCTATACTTGTGACCTTATTGAGTGTGACTCTTGAGACAAGGTGTTTGGTCCTTACCCATTTCCACCAGTCAATAAATGTTGTATATGCATGGACTATCTCTGGGTGTTTCTTACGAAGAAGATGTCACAGAATAGGGTTTCATTGCTGGTTTTCCCCATTTGAATGAATGAATATCAGAAAAGTATGTATGATTACTAATTTTCAGGAATAAAATAAGGAATGTAGGATGATTGAAGCAGTTGAGATGCTACTGTAAAATAACAAGTGCGTGTTACTGAATTTTAAAAATACACATGCTTCTGAGGTTTTAGATCCTTGGTAGAGAGAAGCCCCAAAACAAAACTAAAAGTGTGCAAGATGTCTAGGATATTTACATTCACTTGATTTATAATTGCCATTCAGTTTTTTTTCCAAAAGGATTTTTCATCACATTGCTATTTTTTTTCCCGTTCATGTATCCTAATATCTTCCAGTTTGGGAAGATTAACAAGTATTATTCTCCAAAATAAGCTCAATAAAAGAGCGGAAAGAAAGTTGTTTCCAGTACGTTGTGAACTTTAAATAGATCTTTCCATCACACATTCAGAACTTTTTTGAGGAGCCTAGTGCGGCGGTCGCTCCTGGAGTCCCAGCTGCTGGGAGGACGAGGCCGGAGGACGCTCAAGCATCCCAGCGAGACTCCGGTGCTCTGCCTCCCTTCTCGGTTCCCCCTGCTCACTCTCCCTACCTCGGGGAGGCGGCGCTGGCCACGCCCTCGTCCCTCCGAACTCCTCCTACTCGGCCCCGGGGCTGGCCTGTCCCCTGTGCTTCGGCGCCTTCAGACCCAGCGCGGCCGCCGTAGCGAGGGCGGCAACATGGCCGCCTTGGTCTTGGCTGGTGTCCTGAGATCAGCTTCAGGTCGGTGAGAGCGGTGCGCGGCGCTCCTGCTTTCGCAGGGGCCCGGCGGGACGGGGTGGGCTTGGCGGCCGGAGGCTGAGCGGAGAGGCAATGTCCCCGCTCTCCCGGAGCACGGTGCGAGCGGGCGACTCGGGCGCACACGGCCTCCGCGGGGTCCTGGGGCTCGGGGTCGCGGAGCGCCGCGTGCGGCCGGGGTGCGCTGCGGGCCGGGGTGCGTCGGGAGCAGAAGGAGAGGCCGCGCCTGTCCCTGCCGACTGCAGTCCAGACCAACCGGCCGGTGAGCGGCTGACCCTGTGTGTCAGGATAGCGCTCAGGAAGGAGAGGGCAGGCGGCCGTGCGCGGTTCCCCGCCGCGGAGGAGAACTCTCAGGGGGAACAGTGTGTGAGTGAGTGTGCACGAGAAGAGAAGGCAGCAGTGCGCGGTTCCCCACCGCGGGGGAGAGCTCTCAGGGGGGACAGTGTGTGTGAGTGTGAGTATGAGTGTGCACGAGAAGAGAAGGCAGCAGTGCGCGGTTCCCCGCTGCGGGAGAGCTCTTAAGTGGGACATTGTGTGAGTGTGAGTGAGTGTGCACGAGAAGAGAAGGCAGCAGTGCACGGTTCCCCGCTGCGGGGGAGAGCTCTTACATGGGACAGTGTGTGTGTGTGTGTGAGTGTGCAAGAGAAGAGAAGGCAGCGGCGCACGGTTTCCCGCCATGGGGGAGAGCTCTTACATGGGATAGTGTGTGTGTGAGTGTGAGTATGAGTGAGTGTGCATGAGAAGAGAAGCACCGCTGCACGCAATTCCCTGCCACAGGAGAGAGCTCTTACATGGGACAATGTGTGTGTGTGTGTGAGTGTGCACGAGAAGAGAAGGCAGCAGTGTGTTGTGTGCACGCGCACAGATTATAACACCCATAAGAGATCATTCACGTGGCTTACCAGCTTCGAGGCAGACCTGTGTAGCTCACACCCTCTCAGGAAAGCCCCTCCGCCCCTGCCCACCTCCCCAGAGTGCCCTGCTTCCGCGCTTGTTACCTGGCTGGCCTTTCCCTAGTGGCTTTAGCATCTGTTATGTGCACCTCCTGGTAACGCACAGAAGTTCCCTTGCCTGTCTTGAACTGTCAGGCGAATTCGTACAGCACACGCTCTGGCATCTGCCTCTGTATGAGATGGTTCCTGTCATACGTAGCTGCAGTGCTTTCCCATTGCTAGATGTAATATTCTCTTATGTGACTACTCCTTGACCCTCCATTCTATTCTTGGCAGATACTCGGGTGATTACAGTCTGGGGGCCATTCACAAAGCTGATTGATCTTGTGTCCCCATGCACAAGTGCAAGTGTTTCTAAGGGTGTCGTGTGTAAAACTAGCTGTGGGACTTCTGGGCCAGAGTATGTGTGTATACTCAGCATTGCCTGGTGTTGCCAAAATGCTTTCCGACACCATGTGCTCATTTATGGTTACCCCAGTAGTGGAGGCTCCTCATCCTCACCGACACTCAGTATTGTCACACCTACACATTTTTGTCAGTCTGATGACAATGTAGGGGTGTCTCAGTGAAGTTAAATATGTGTTTCTCTGATTAGTAATGAGCCTTAGTATGTTTACACATGTGTAATGGCCTTTTGAATTTATTTTATGAAATATCCACTTAAATATTTTGCTCATTTTTCATTGCATTTCTCACTGACTTTAGCAATGCCTCATGTGTTCTGGGGATGTGTATTCTTTTTTGGTTAGGTGTGTCCAGTGTCTTCTCTAACCCTGGCCTGTCTTTTTTCTTCTTTCTTTTTCTGTTGTCCTTGTCATGCTGGGGATTGAACCCAGGGCCTTGCACTGCCAGGTGGGCACTTTACCACTGAATCACACCTGCAGCCTTTGCCCCCTTTTCTTGAGACAGGCTGGCCTTCAACTTGCAGCCCTCCTGCCTTAGCCTCCCAGGTAGCTGGAATTGAAGGCGTGCCCCAGCATGTCAGACTCTGCAGCTCTTGGCGTTCATTAATGTATTGTTAGGCCAACCACTCCTCCAATCACGTTAATGTTTTATCTCATTTAATTCTCATTATCACTCCATAACTAACCTAACTTAAATTTGAGGAAACTGGGGCACAGGGAGTTAAGTAACCTTCCCATAGTTACACTGCAAGTAATAGAGCTAAAACCAGAACGCAGACCCTCTGAATCAAACCCTGGCACTTTGCTTCCGCCCCACATGCCTGTTTGTCAGGCGAGACCAGTGCAGTGGACAACAGGCAGTGGTTCTGGGTCCTGGCTGAGCATCCGACTCATGTGGAGCTTTTTTAGAAACCACCTTCATTGTGGTAGAATTTGCCTAAAGTTACTAGTTTTGTGTGTTCAAGTTAATGGAACTTCTAATAAGTTTAGCAAGTTGTGCAGCTATCATGCACTCCAGCTTTAGGACATTTCAGTCATCTTTGGAACTTTTTTAGCAGGTGCCTTCTTTTTTTTTTGTTGGAGAATGGGTACCGGGGATGGAGCTCAGGGGCACTTGACCACTGAGCCACATCCCCAGCCCTATTTTGTATTTTATTTAGAGACAGGATCTCACTGAGTTGCTTAGGGCCTCGCTAAGTTGCTGAGGCTGGCTTTGAACTTGCAATTCTCCTTTCTCAGCCTTCTGAGCTGCTGGGGTTACAGGCGTGTGCCACTACGCCTGGCCAGCAGGTGCCTTCTTGAGTCCCACAAGAGACACAGTCTAGTGGACTAGTGCAGTCACAGCTCAGAGAGGTTCTCATTTGCATAATGGCCACACAGTGACGAAAACTGTACCCACCCACACACCTCTGTCCTCTCCATCCTGCCTTCTGACCTGCTCTGCCTCATTTCCCACTGCTTGTCCCCAGGCCTCTCTACTGCAGCCTGGCCAGCAATATGCAGCTTCACCACAGATCTGGTCTCCTCCCCTGTGTTTGTTTCCACCCCCAGGTCTTTGCTGCCGCAGTTCATCTTACCTGAAGTTTGTTCCTCCCTTTTGGGACTGGGGATTGAACCCAGGGGCTCTTTTTATCATGGTGCTACATTCCCAGCCCTTTTTCATATTTTATTTTGAAACAGGGTCTTGCTAAGTTGCTTATGTCCTCCTGCTTCAGCCTCCCCACTTGTGCTTCACCACAGCCAGCGGCTCTGTGCACTTTTGAGAGGAAGCTCAAGTGCCTGTTCTGTTCTCGCCACTAATGCTGCTCTCAAACTCTGTTCTTTCCACTGGGGTGTCTGACCTGCTTCCTGTTCCCCCTCCCCAGGCTGTAAGATCTGTGGGAATGAATCTCCCACATACCTTGTCCTTTAGTACCAAACACATCAGCCTGGACCACAGTGACAGTTGTACAGTTCTCTAACTTTTCTAAAAATCATTAAATTGAACACATAAAATGGGTTAAATTTACTATATGTAAGATACACCTCAGTAATAAAGGGGGAAGCTCCCTGGGTGAGTCTGATGCGCAGAACACTTTAACCACATTCACCCCTTGGCTGCTGTGATGTATTGACTATAAACTTATCTTGATGTTGGTTTTGGAGTACCAGAGTAAGCACATGCACTCCCTCTTTTCACAGGACTCCTGCGGCCCCTGAACATCTTGGCATCCTCAGCCTGTAGGAACAGTGCCAAGAGTGCCTGTGTTGACTCTGTGCTGTCCACTGGGCGGCTCAGTCACGTGCAAACGCCCGTCATTTGCTCTGCTCCCAGGCTTGTGGGAAACCTGATGTGTGGGCATCTTACAATCCTTAATAGGTAGAGTGTGTTTCAATAAATATAATGCATGAAAATTTTAAGAACATTCATGCCTGGGCTGGGAGTGAGGTTCATGGTAGAATACTTGTGTAGCATACCCAAGAGTTCGATCCCCAGCACCACAGAAAATAAAAAAATACTCATTCCTGTCAGACATCAGAGAACCAAATGATGTGGTTTGCCTGTCTGGAGCTGATTGTACGGCTATGCCTCACCGAGTGGGAGGCTCAGATTGACATCCACATACCCAGGTGCCAGCAGTGGAAACTGCCAATCAGAGCACATTTTTAAAAGTTTGTTTCTTTCCCCCTTTGCAATGCTGGAATGAAACCCAGGGCCACATCCCCAGCCCAGAGTATTCTGATGCACAAGTGGTTTCCTGATAGAAGCATCAGGCAAATCAGAGGCTGGACAAGAGGCTCAGCCTATAAGGCTGGGCGGTGTGTGTTCTTTACCTGGTCAGCAAGTAAGCACCCTTGGGTGCCCAGCACCATACTTGGCAGAAAGGACAAAAGGACACGTTGAAGTCCTCAAGGAGTTTATATCTGGTGGGTAGTTGGATTAGAAATCAGGTAATTAAAATATAGTCGGATAAGTTCTTTCACAGGGTCTGAAGAAGGAATGGGTTTTATTTATTTTTGGTGCTAGAGATTGACTCCGGGCCTTGCTTGTGCTATGCATGTGCTCTACCACTGAGCTGCGTCTCCAGCCAGGGTGGATTTTAGAAGGCTTGCAGTTGGTGAAGGTTGATATTCTTTTTAAATTTATGTATTTATTTTTGCAGTAATAAATTGAACTCAAGGGTGTTCTGCCACTGAGCTACATCCCCAGTCCTGTTTATTCTTTATTTTGAGACAGGGTCTGGCTAAATGGCCCAGGCTGGCTTGGAACTTGCTCTTTTACTAAGTAGTGGGATGGCAGGCACAGCCACTGGCCCAGCTGGTAGTTGCTGTTCTTATTTGCACGTAGTCCATGGAATCATTGGAGTATATTGTATATTAAAAATTCCCCTCCATTTAAGTGGAGCAGCCTTACTCCTGAATGCTGTATGGAACTAGATGTTATCCTTTAATCAGTCTGATCACTCGTTAACATTTTAAAATGTATTCTAGAGTGGCCCCTTTGCTCCCCAACATCCTCAAGCCTCCCGTCAGAACCTTGACGTACTGCAGTACTCGGAAGGGCAAGAGAAAGACTGTGAAAGCTGTCATCTACCGGTTTTTTCGACTTCATTCTGGCCTTTGGCTGAGGAGAAAGGTGAGTCTTTCTGCTGTTGCCTTGTTGAGTACATCCTGATGCAGAGTTCCACCTCTCGACGCTGTGTCCTGCCTTACCTGGAGCTCTTCTGGCTGTGGAGCCTGGCAGGCCTCTGCAGTGATCCCATGAGACAGCGTCTCTGTGTTGCCCACAGTGTTTGCTGTGGGCGGGCCCCTCCTTGTTTGACAGATCATTCCATTTCAGAAGCGGTCCTGGATTTGTTGGTAAACGGTTGGCTAAAACTCTTGAGCCCATTTTTCCAGGGAGGAACAGGGTGGCAGGCCGTGTCCCACAGCAGTCAGCAGCGCCATCTTCCAGGGAGGAGCAGAGTGGTGGGCCGTCTCCCATGGCAGTCAGCATTGGGAGCAGCTGAACTGAGTTCTGAGGGTCAAGTTTTGTGGAGTCCTTAGAGATAGTTGCTCTCCTTTGTGATCATATTAGTTATCTCCAGCCCTCGCTGGTCCTGCGTAGAATGGCTGGCTTTCCTTCCTTCCTTCCTGTATCCCTTTTACTGGGCTCCAGACCCCTCATGTGACTATAAAGGGCCTGATCAAACTCTCCAGCCATAACTCCTGCTCCAGTTCAGTGTCCCCAGCGGTATACTGTGTGCAGAACAACCTGCTTCACCAAACTGTTTTTTTCTTTTTTCTTTTGGAACTGAGGATTGAACCCAGGGGTGCTCTACCACTGAGCCACATCCCACACCATTTTTAGTTTTGAGACAGGGTCTTAGTAAATCTCTCAGGGCCCCACTAAACTGCTGAGGCTGGTCTCAAACTTGAGATTGATCCTTCTGCCTCAGTCTACCCGTGCACCACCATGCCTGGTTCAAAGAAATGTTTAAAAAAAAAGACAACAAAAAAACCTGCATTGGTTAATTCATACTAATGTAGGAAAACAAAGTATTTTCTTTGGCATAGCTCCACCCAGGTGTGGCTAATGTTCATTATTTATTCCCTCCTTCCATTTCTTAGAAATTGCCTAAAAGGTTTATCTGTTTCTTTTTCTGTCTCTTTCAGTACTGAGGATTGAACCGAGGAGTGCTCTGTCACTGAGCTGCCTCCTCAGCCCTTTTTATTTTCTATGTTGAGACAGAGTCTCGCTAAGTTGCCCAGGCAGGCTTTGAACTTGTGATCCTCCTGCCTCAGGATCTCGAATCACTAGGGTTACAGGCATGCACCACCCTGCCCAGCCTATTTTCTGTGATTTTAATTTAAATAATTTTTTCTGAAACATTAAATTATCTGTTAATATATATGTTTTTCAAACTGCAAATGCTTCTTCTACCCTCTCCCCACTAAAAATGTCTCCCCAAAGCTTCTCAGCCCTGTGGAAGTCTGGGTTTGTTCCCACTGGGCCCATGAACCGTGAGTTGTGAAAATAACCTGTCATTTCCTACATAATGTGATATACGTCTGTAATATTATCTCGCAGGCTGGTTATAAAAAAAAATTATGGAAAAAGACAGCTGCAAGAAAAAGACGCTTGAGGGAATTCGTGTTCTGCAATAAAACCCAGAGTAAACTCCTAGATAAGATGACGACATCTTTCTGGAAGAGGCGGAACTGGTACGTCGATGACCCCTATCAGAAGTACCACGATCGCACCAACCTCAGAGTGTAGAGAAGAGTCTCGGCTCCTGTCCCTGAATGTCCTCTTTGTCCTCGTGACGCCTTGCTAACGAGTGAGCTAGGACTTGAAGTGAATTGTACTGGCTGATGTCAAACACACAACACCAGTATTAAACCTGAGGAAGTCTTACAGTGAGTGATTTCGCGTGCTGGGATCTGGCCAGGGAACTGGAATTCAAGGTTGTGCGTGGTTTTTCACCTCAGTGCTGGTTTCACTAGTCACCCCAGTTAGGCTTCTTTAGCTGCAAGGAATCTAAACTGAGGGCGAGGTCAGAAGACTAACGCCAGCTAGTGAGCCCCAGCAGTGACCCCATCTAAGGACACAGCCTCAGAGGAGCTGGGACCCTCTCAGCAGCCCCACCTGGGCGGGGGGGAGGCTGCCACTCTGCAGGCGCCTGGCTCACCACTCCTACTGGCTCAGCACGTGGGCAGCCTGCCTTCTTTGCTCCCCTCGCTCTGCAGGGCTTGTGCTTGGGAGTAGCTCCCATCCCCTCTCAGTAACTGCAGCCTGTAGCCTTGAGGTTCTACCTCCTGACCTTCATCATCTGCAGAGAGACTCCAGCTGGGGGGCTCCCACATACCCAGGCCTCACTGGTGTCACCTCTGGTGTAGGGATCGGCTCTTCCTAGGTCAGGAGCTCCCAGCCCATTCGGTTGTCTGCCGCTTCACTGGGAGCAGAGACTGGTGACAGGAGCAGTTTTGCTTAGAGGTGAGCACAGGAGGCGCGCACCTGGCCTCTTGAGTTCTGAGTGCATGGTTCACGGGGGTTCTCATGCAGTTTTTTGGTGCGGGATGTATTCATAGAAGAGTAAATGCATAACCTTTCAGTGTGAGGTGCCCTCTTGAGACGGGGCTGTACAAGACAAAGACTTTGTACCCACGTCTCAAGGAACACTGTATTTCTCAAATTCAGTTTGACCTCTTGAGGGTTCATATTTTCATATGTAAGAGTAAACTCTTCCCCAAATACTCCAAAAATGCATTGTAGAATTAAGAGGGGGAGGTGATTTCAGGAGCGATGCAGGTGGCTACACAGGCTTTCTGTGGAGAGGGCTGGTAGTGGCTCTCAGCTCCCTCACCAGACTCCTCGGGAGGCGCTTCAGAAAGTGCTGTTGTGTCAAAGCCACTGCTAAATAGAACGAGGGGGGTCGCTGTGCCGGCCCCTTCCTCCAGGGTTGGCAAGATGAGCTCCTCTTCTGCCAGGGAGGTAAGCACATTGAAGTCAAGGTGCATCAGCAGGAAGTTGGGGGTCATTGAGTGAAAAGGGGCAGCAGTAGAATGTTCTGAAGCCAGAGGGCCATGTGTGTCTGTTACAGGCTCTTGCTCTCTGGCACGCCTCTTGCGGGGTGAACAGGTGTCTTAAAAGCCAGGGAGCAGGACCCTTTCCCAGCCTCCATGGTGATGTGAACATGGACGACTAGTGTCTGTTGCAGGCCTCAGAGCAACTTAGCTTCTCTAGGCCAGGGACAGCAGGGGAGAGAGGAGGACCAGCAGGCAGGGCCTCAGCATCCAGAGATGGGCTGAGGTGAACGGGCCTGTGGGCACTCCATTCTGGGGGTAGGAGGGCTTATCAAAACCATTTTATAGGGGCTGGGGCTGGGGCTCAGAGGTAGAGTGTTCACCTAGCATGCGTGAGGCCCTGAGTTCCATCCTCAGCACCACATAAATATAAAATACAGATATTGTGTCCACCTGTAATTAAAAAATAAATATTAAAAAATCTATTTTCTAGTTTGACAGTAAAACAGCTCTCATTAAATGATATTCAAGCATGCTCGTAATTCAGAAAGTGTGTGGATAGTCTATTCAAGTATAGAATTTATTGGACACCCACCATGTCCCAGTGTAGTTATAAGACTGGGCCCAAATCACAGAGCTGCTGAACTCCATGCCAGCCATGCAGAGGAATCGCCGTGGACTCCTGATTTAAATTAGAGGACACAGAAGCTCAGCATTAAATAAGTTTCCCAAAAGTACGCTCATGCGTCCCAGGACAGGAGTCAGATTCCTGGGGTCCTCTCTGTTGCCCTCAGTCTTCTGACAGCGAAAGGAAATTCTTAATCTAAATCAACAGTGACTGATGTAGTACTGTAAGTACTAAATCATTTGTAACACTATTACTTCACCTGTTTTGGGTTTGTTTTTATAGTCCTGGGTAAATCCAGGGCCTCACACATGCTAGGCAAGCACTCTACCCCTGAGCACATCCCCAGCTCTGGACTTGAACTTGCCCTCCTGCCTCAGCCTCCCAAATAACTGAGATTACAGGAGTAGCCACTACACCATGCCTAGTTCATCTTTGAAATTTTATTTATTTATTCTTTCTTTTAGAGACAGGGTCTCACTGAAGTGCAATAAGTTGCTGAGGCTGGCTTTGAGCTTTCAATCCTCCTGCCTCAGCCTCCCAAGCTGCTGGGATTACAGGTGTGGCCACCACACCCAGCTCATCTTTGACATTTTATAACTGCTGTTCTATTATTTGTCAACTCTTTTTGGGGGGTGGGGTATCAGAGATTAGACTCGGGGGCACTCAACCACTGAGCCATGTCCCCAGCCCTATTTTGTATTTTATTAAGAGACAGGGTCTCACTGAGTTGCTTAGTTCCTCTCTTGCTGAGATCAGCTTTGAACTCCTGATCCTCCTGTGTCAGCCTCCCAAGCTGCTGGGATCACAGGTGTGCCCCACTGTGCCTGGCTGTTTGTCAATACTAATCTGTTGGCACTGGATCTGGCTCAATGAAAAACAGAATGGATTTCCAGCCTTCCCATCCCCCCTCCTCCCTGCTGCCCTCTGAACCTGCTTCTTTTCTGCTGCCTCTTGTCAAACAGGCACAGTCCTTGTGTCAGACAGGTAGACTCTGGGACTATAAGAACGACGAGAATGGGCCTGGCTTTGATATTCTCTAGTCTCCGTGGCCACCCAAGAGGCTTGAGCCCACCTGTTGCTATTGAAGGGTAGGCCCTGCAGGGCTGAGTCATCACTACTCTACCTCGTGCGCTGTGCATGCACGGCGCTCTCCTCATCTGCACAGGTGCCCTCGTCTGTAGGTGGACAAGTGCTCAGGAGGAAAGCAACAGACCACAGGTCTCTGCAGAATCGCAGCCAGCTACTCTGTCTTCACAGCTGTCCAGTCTCCACTGATGATCTTTAGACTGTAAAATTGATGCTTTCAGGGAGATCATCTGGTTTTGCAAACACAGTATCACTTAATTTTCTTCCTCCCATAATCCTATGCAGTTCACATGGGGCCAAGTTTCCATGCCAGCTGGTGATTGAGCATTCTGTTTCTAATCCTTGTTAGGTTCCATGTGTGTGTGTGTGCACACACGTGGTCCTGGGGTTGAACCCAGGAGCATACCCCCAGCCCTTTTCTAAATTTTCCTTTGAATTGGGTGCAGTGGTAGATGTTTGTTATCCCAATGACTTGGTAGGCTGATAGGAGAATCGAAAGTTCAAGGTTAGCCTCAGCAACTTAGCAAGATCCTGTCTCAGAAGGGTTGGGGATGTGTCTCAGGGGTGAAACCACCCCTGGGTTTCATCCCCAGGACCAATTTTTTTTTTTTTTTTTTTTACTTGGAGACATGTTCTCACTAAATTGTTGAGCCTGGCCTTGAATTTGTGATCCCTCTGTCTCAGCCTCCCAAGTTGCTAGATCACAGGCATACCACTGGTCCTGGCCTTTCCAGATTTTTAAGGAACATTTCCCCTTTCCTCATAAGCCCAATATTACAAGGACATTTCTTAAAAGAAAGATGTTAAGACTTTATTCAAGCATTATAACAAAACAGCAAACATCAGCTTTTGGAATACTGTCATTCACATCCCTTCGATGCACGGTCCAATCTCCGATGGTCCTATGGAGACGGCAGGGAGCACAGTCGCTGTCCACAGCGCCTGTTCCTTGCGTGTCCGGCCACAGGGTGAAGCGCGTCCTCTGCCACTCGAGTGCTGTGTGGGGCCAGGGGAGGGCTTATGGCGGTGGTGTACACGCACTGCACAGACACACGGACAGTATCACAGAGGACCCACGTAAAGGCCAGCAGGGCTGGGGAGGGGGGTGGTGGCGAGGCTCTGCTGAGGATGGAGAGCAGGAGATCCCGCTCACCTCAGAAGCAACAGGTGCTGGAGGCCAGCAGCTAACCGTCATGAAGGGGAAGTCAGACTTCCGAGCTAGTGTGTCCGTAAGTCACACACTGAAATCATCCGGTGGCATCTTCTAAACAGAATGCACCGCTGCTTGCACACTGATAGGCATTCGCATTCACACAGATAACACAGCGTGGTGGGTGAGGAAACACGTTTGCCAAAAGCATGATGGCTGCTCCCAGGTGTGCGTGTGTGTCCCCAAGAGGCGACTCCCTAGTTGGCACCGGGAAAGCGCAGGGCACTCGGCAGCAGGTGCCTCCCATCTGTCTCTGACCGTGGACTGACTGCACAGCCTTCTACAAGGTGGGGTGCACCCTGCTGGTTCTGGCACACTTGATAGTCTGGACCTGTCCACCTTTCCATTGTAGAATCAAAAATACAGCATGACCCATTGTTAAAGCTATTGTTATTTTGGCAAAATAATAAAAAAAAATTGGTAGAAAGCTGCCTCACTTGAGCTTTTTGCACTTGTTTCTGGTCACACTGAGTATGCCCAACTAAGTAAACACACTGTAAAGGGTACACCATTCCTCGTCTGGGACCACGCAGGGATTCTCTTCCCTAGCAGGTTCAGGAATTGGGGGGTGTGGGCCAGAGACCGAGAGCAGAGGCCTCTGACCTCTCAGCCATGAAACTACTTTTAGGTGGATTTTCGTAAATCCTTATAAACTTCAGAATCACCATCAGAGGCCCTGTGGGAAGGAGGGATTCCAGTGTGTATGTCTGGCCACAGTCAACTTGGACTAGACCCCTTTGCACGACAGCACCCTCGGCAGCCCGTGTGCAGGCCTTGGGTGGGTCTCGGTAACTGGGCCTGCTTGCAGCCGGGTTGACAGCTCTGAGTGACTTGAGACACTACTTCTCTAGCCTTGAGGGTGAGTCTAAGAACAAACACAATCCAACTGTATGAGACCTGCACAGTGGCCAAGGCATGCAAGACACAGGGACACCAACTCTAAGCACAAATACACTAGTCCTACGTTTTGGCTCAGCTCTGGGGTGGCAGCTACCTCAGACCCACTGTCACTTCATCCAGGTGCTGCTCAAAATTCCAGTCTAAGCAGGGAGTTCCCTCAGAGCTGGACTGCCCTGGGAGGAGTCCTGGCTTGTGTGGAACCTCCAAGGTTGGCTCCGCTCACATCCCACAGGTCAGGAAGGGAGCAGAAGATGGAGCCACAGCTGCCCAGGGTTTCCAGCCCCCTTGGTGAGGTGTGTCCGCCTGCTGGGGCGTATCTGAAACAGCACTTGTTTCTGCCTGTTCTCTGCAAGGTGCTCAGTGGAGGCTCCTCTGCCTGGGGAGATCAGCACTGATCACTACGAGGGAGAAACAGTACTTTGCCAAGCACTTTCGAGACCCTCGACATTCTTCAAGCAGCTCTGCAAAGTGCCCATGCCCAGGAAGACTGCCAAGTGAGCCCTACAGGGGTTCTGCAGGCCCCCCAGACCCAGGCAGGAGTGGAGCTTCCTGTGCCCTCCCCCCGCCCGGGGGCTTTGCTGGGCTCTCCAGCCCCTGCCCTCCGAGCTGCCGCCTCACAACTGTGGCAAGAAGGAACCATCTTCCTTCAGGGTAGCTGGATTTGAAAGCTTTAAAAGCACATAAAAGACATGATCTAGAATTGATTTTTTTTTTTTAACAATTCTGTTTTTACAGTTTTCTCACTTATTGGAACCTCTGGCAGCCCTTGCAAGCTCATTATGTTAAGCCAAAGCCATAAATATGTTCATCAGAGTCCAAAGGAGTAGTACCAAGAAAAAAAAAAGTTTTTAAAAAAATTGCTTTGTTTGCATTTACAGGACTAAAAACTAAGTCTGCAACAGATAAATTACAAGTGTACAACTCAGCAGCACAGGGGAGATCTCTGACGTTCTGAAAGCACACTGCTCTCTGTAGTGACCATCCAGTGGAGGGGACATACCGACCTCAGAAGGCATGACAGTCACCCCACTATCACCTTTCCCTTAGCCTCTCCCCAGCAAAACAAAGGAAGAAGAGAAGAAAAGGGGAGGGAAGAAAGAGAAATCCCGAGAGGCAAAGGGCGTGAGGCAAGGCAGAGTCCGCGCGTGGATCTGGATGGTGACCAGCTCTTTAAGGCAGAGGAGAGACGCTCTGTGGATCCGGTGCCGATGGCTCATCTCACTCACGTGGTTTCGGTGGCCGAGGACGAGGTACTCTTCTTCCTGAAGCGGGATCGCAGGAGTCTAGGCGGTGCCTGGCAGAGAGAACAGAACAGACACCCCTCTGTGTGGCACGAACGTGTGACCTCAGGACAGCACCAGGGCTGCGTGGGGACATCAGCAGGAGCGCAGCAGTGAGCAGAGGGATCTCCCTGGGCCTCCACGCACCCCGTGAAGCGGAGCCTCCCACAGGGCTGCTCCATGAGCCCCAGTCCCTGGCTGCCCGGGGAGCATTGTGCAGAGGGCACTGTCTCATTGTCCCCAGCAGTGACGCAGAGGGGAGCAGTGACGCAGAGGAGAACTGCTCTGCTCTGGCCTCTGCCACGTCTGCACTTCCTCCGCGCTGGCCTTGCGTCCCCTGGGACAGCCTCGAGGGCCCAGTGCCCACTCAGGATGCAAAGCCATTGTGCTCCACAAACCACAGCTCACAGGCAAGTGAACTGCACCAAGGGTCCCCTCAGCCCACAGGGGACTCTCACAAGGCCCTCCTTCCATGGGACATAGACCCCAGCTGCTGGGAAATGAACGGGAAGGCCTCTCCTGCAGAGCCCCTCAGCCTGTGCCTGTGCATGTCCCAGGGAGGAGGGCTTTGTCCACTCTGCGTCCTCTCACACCTCCCGACTCGCCCCTGGGCACCACCTGGAAAGCCCCCTCTGCGGAGGCTTTCACGAGCCCTCGCCACACGCAAGCAGTCTGCCTCACTGCCTCTGGCCCACCGAACTGCCCATGATGGCTCGTCACCTGAGTATGGGTGGGGGGCGTTCTGCTTCCTGGGGGCAGGCCCACGTCCAGGTCAGTGCCTGGCAGTTGCTCCAAGGGAGGGAGCGGATGGACCAGAGCAGGCGTGGGCCCCCTCACCAGCCACCACTGGCCACAGGCCCGTAGGGGGGTGACCCCGCTTCCTAACTCCAGCCTCTTGGCAGGTAAAGCAGGCAGTGAGGAGGCTGTGTGGCTTCAGAACCCAGGAGCAGAGGGGCTCGGCCACCAGCCTGGGAGGCTGGGCCAGGTGGGGCTCCAGCCACTCCCAGCTCTTCAAAGACTGGCCCATGTATGCCTCATCTCAGCAGGAGCCTGGTGGACCCTGCAGGTGGGGGTGGTCCCAGCACGGCTCTGGAGTGACCAGGACACTTGGCCACTGTGCTAGGCGGGGACATCGCAACTCCTCCTCATCTCACTCCAGGGGTCTCCACTCTGGGGAGGGACTCCCACCCTGACCTCAGGATTCAGCAGATGGGGAACTGGAAAGGAGACTGAGGGGGCAGAGAGGATGTCTCTGGGGTCCCTGAGTCTGTTGGCCTTGCCCCCGAGACATGACTGGTGAGTCCCCACCATGTCTCAGAGCAAGGCCCATGAGCTCCTGTGTGGCCCTCCTGCTGCCAACACCCGTCCACACCTGTGGTCATGTTGGCCTTGCTAACTCTAAAGGGCTGTGCCCCGAGGCCGTTTCATGACCAGCCTTTCTGCACCAGGTGCCTTGGTATGCTGGAGATGACGAGAGAAGGCCCATCTGTAAAGACACCAAGCAGCGAGGTCTGGGCTCTCCCTTCCCCAAGACTCTCCAGGTCGATTTCCTCACACATCGCCGCAGTTAAGAGCGGTGTCAAGGGAAACGAGACCCCTTGCCTCCTCTCTGTCTCCCACTGCCCCAGCCTTGGCGCCTAGGTGGGTCCTGCCTGTTTGCTGAAGGGAGATCTTGTCACCCCAGCACCAGGGGGTGCTGGGTATCCCGAGAGGCCACTGCTGGGGCGCCCAGGTCTCAAGAGCAAAGCGCCTGGGCAGACACACTCTCCAACCCGCAGCCCCCGACGCTGGTACCTCCAGGGGCGGATCCATCCTCTTTGGTGCTTTATACTTGTACATGAAATCCAGCAGGTCCTCCTCCTCCTCGTCAGAGAACGCCAGTGGGTTGTGGGCCTGGAGGGGCTCCCAGGCCTTCACACCACCCTCGTCCACATCTCCCTCAACCACTGAATGTGCGTGTACAGTCTACACGAGGAGAGAGGGCGCAAGAGGCATCAGCGAGGAAGGGGCAGGCAGGGTAGGGTTAGGCTCCACCACACGCCAGGCCTGTTAGGACAGCTACAGCTTGGGTTTAGGAGGCACCAAGGACTTGGGGCCTCCCTGCAGGGCCAGGGCTGTGAGAGGACGATGGCAAGGCACAGGGCACAGGGCAACCCACGCTCAGCCCACACCAGCTGAGGAGGTGGGCATGCTGCATCCCCGTGGTCCAGACCTGCGGCTGTCCCGGCTGGCCAGGGAAGGCTGTGCTCTAGACAGTACAGCTGGGTGACGCGCGGGAACCCAGCTGCCTACGTCACACGTGCAACCGTGACGGTACTGCATTGCACTTGGGTGGCCAGCTCCGCGCTCTTAGAGACAGGAGGCAGCACCCTGGAAGCCATAGTGATGACCCACACAGACCCTCACTTCCAAGGCCCCCGCCCTGGAAAGCAAAGGAGCCCAGGAAGGAGTCTGAACGTAGCCGCTTTGGAAAAACAAGACAGCAAGGGTCCTATTTCAGGTTGCCCTGAAGAACCCACAGGAGGTCCGCAGAGTCTGCCCACGCCCTGCCTTGAGATGTTAGCTGTCCCTGCCCGCCCAGCTCATCTGATGTCCACAGTCTCGGCCTCCTATGCCTCACACACTGCCTTAGCCAATCACAGAAGGCAGAGCCAGGGCCCCTTGCCTACCTCACCCATCTCGTCCAACCACCCTTCTGTCTGCAGATGGAAACCTGAGCTCCTCTTAGGACACCTGATACTGCTCCAAAAAAAAAAAAAAAAAAAGTTCAGCCAACAAGTCCACTGTCTCCACCAGGCTGCAGAGGGGGCCCAGGGGCCCAGCAAAGCAACACCACCTCATCTTGGACAGCTTCTTCCGTTCTGCTGCCCTTCTCTGTGGCAGCCAGCGGGGGGCAGCACCAGAGCACGGCTGCCTTGGGGAGGGATCTGCCCAGGCTGCACCTCAGGGAGGGCCTGAGGCATCCATCTCCCAGGCGCGGTTCAGTCTGTGCCTCCCTCAGCCTGTCTACCCTGCGTTTAGGCTGTTCTCAGGTCCTTTCCCTGCCCAAGTCCAGCCAGACTCAGGACCTTAAACGCCCACGATCTCACAGGCCTCTGGGAAGACTGACCCTCCAAGGGCTTCCTGCACCACAGACCTGGAAAGCTTAGGGTCTGCACCAAGCCGTTGGTGCTACACAGCCTGGCTCTCCTGTGGGCTCCCAGCCCAGGCCAGCAACAGTGTCCTGAGGTGTGTGGCCATGCTGGTCCTCCCGCACACCCTCTGAGCACCTGCCCAGGGCTGGGTGCACAGCAGCCACATCCTCTGATGTGCTGGCCCCAAGTCAGAGCTGGCACCCATCAACTGGACACACAGGAGAAGCATGAGACATAACCCAGGACCCAAGGCCCCCAGAGCAAGGCAGGCCTGCAGAGGCCATCCCCATCCTGGGCCTGGGGCTGAGTGCAGTGGGGTCTGTGCCTCTGCACACCCACATGTGGTTCCCTCTCAGTCCTGCCCCAGGGCTTTCATTGTACTGATGCCTATGGGCACCAAGGTGGCCCCGTGTCCCCTCAAGATCCTAGGGGATCTCATAAGTCAGCCCACTCTCCTGGCCTGGACGTGCTGTGGCTGAACAAGGAATTCACACATTACCAGGATAACAATGACCACCAGAGGGGCTTCCCGCGTGCTCTCCACACTGCGCCCTTCAGCAAGGACCAAGGGTCAGAGTGAGTGACCCTCCAGGCCCTGAAGAGAGCAGGTGAGCCCAGCTACTCAAGCAGGAATAGAGAGCTAGTGCCCAGCGGAGCAGAGGCTGCAGCAAGGGACACTGGTATGGGCAGTCAGGGCCGGAAGCAGCTCCCAGAAGAGAAACACCCCTGGCCACGGAGGCCCTAGCCATTGATGGCAAGAGTGTTTGTGATGTTCTTCCCCCAGGACTCCCGAGGGCGAGTGTCCTGAACCAGCCTCCGAGCCTCAGGGGGCTACTTGGTGAGTCTGAGTCTCAGCTTCCTGTCCTCCTCCTCCTTGGGGGGAAGAGGGACTTTGGCCACACTCCAGCAGGAGGGCAAGCACCTCTGACCTCCTGCTCCTCCCTGGCCTCCTGCTCCTCCTGACCTCCTGCTCCTCTCTGGCCACCTGCTCCTCCCCAACTTCTGCTCCTCCCTAATCTCTTGCTCCTCCCCGGCTTCTTGCTCCTCCCCAACCTCCTGCTCCTCCCTGGCCTCCTGCTCCTCCCTGAACTCCTGCTCCTCCCTGACCCTCTGCTCCAGCCAGCCCTGGGCCACCCCCACAGAGCAGCAGAGCCCCCCCGGGTTAGTGAGCACCCCACACGGCACACGTTAGCCAGCAAACATGTCTGGAGAGCATGCCCAGGAGGCCGCGACACTTACATCCACGTCCGCCACCGCCGTGGGGAGAGAAGAACACAGTTAGGAGAGGCCCTGGGGCGAGAGCCACACCCACCCATACACACACACACACACACGTGCGAGTGTGAAAACACACGCGTGTGCACACACACACACAGCTCCTCCTGCGTGGCCAGGAGAAAGACACTGCCCAGCTCAACTGTCTCCTCCCGCCGCTCTCCCTAGCAGATGGCAAGAGGAAGGACCCCCCTAAACCATGTGTCAGGGGTGCTCTGTGCCTGGGCTCGGGTGGCCATCCCAAGTGTAGTTCTCTGTCCATGGGGGCAGGTGGGGCCTGTGGCAGAGGAAGAGAAAGGGAGGCGGGCAGTGGGGAGGGAACTGGCTGCAGGGGCGGGGAGTGAACCAGGTGCACAGGCAGAAAGGACAGCACAGATCAGCGGCCGCCTCTGCCACTCCTGGGTGGCTCTCGTGGCCCCCCACGCCTATCAGCCTCCCAGCCGCCCCTTGTCCTTCTCCACTCTCCGTCCTGTGCTGGGACCTGCATTTACAGCCCTTAGGAGACTCCTGCTCTGCTCAGGGGTCCTCAGGACAACTCGTGGCCCAGGCTTCGGTCCGAGCCGCCCCCATAGGACACCAATCCAGGAGACCTGGAGGGAAGCATCCTGCGCACTGAGGCCTTCTCATGGCCCCAGCGAACCTCCCCAGTACCACCTGCTGTCACTGCAGAGGCCATCTAGCCCAACCCACCACCTAACAGCATCCTGCTTGTGCTGGCCCAGCAGCACCAGAGCCAGCGGCCAGGCAGCAGTGGGCAGTGTATGCCCGCCCCGTGTCCTCACGCAGTCGGCAGGCTGCAGGCTGGGGCCTCCCTCCTTCTGAGCCAAGCCGCATGCTCCCTGGGGAGCAGCGAGAGCCACAAGGGCTTGGACAGTCCAGCACCGTCTAGTCCCTGGTGTGTCCAGTTAAGGCCAGGCAAACAGGAGCAGGTCACGGGAGAACAACTTGGCCACCAAGCTGTCACACATAGTGAAGGCAGCAGCAGGCATCCCTGTCCAGAACTGGAGGCCTCTTCCCTCCCTGGAGTCTCCTGGCTACTCTAGTGTGTAGTGCTTCCACTAACGGCAGTCCTTGGAAACAGTAGTCCTTCGACAACCATTGCACAACCATTGCACAACCATTTCACAACAGTGCAGAGAGCGAGGAAAGCAGGGACCTTTGTCTCTATTTTAAGATGAAGAAACTAAGGTGCAGAGTAGTTAGGAGATTCACAGAAAGTTGCACAGCTCGTAAGTGGCAAAGCAGGACCAGGGCTCCCTTGGCTGCACCAGGACGACACCCCTGGAACCACAGGGCTCCAGCACTGCAGAGTCTTGGCAAGTTCCTGGGCCTTACTTCCCACAGTACAGGGAGGCATGACTGTGTGGTGACTGAGCAATAACAGCACACATTTTTTAGGGGGGGCACTGGTGATTGCACCTAGGGGGTGCTCTGCCATTGAGCCACATTCCAGCCCTTTTTATTTTATTTTGAGGCAGGGTCTCACTAAGTTGCTGAGGCTGGCCTTGAACTTGCAACCCTCCTGCCTCCATCTCCCAAGTTGCTGGGGTTACAGGCGTGGCCACAGCCCCTGGCTGTGTTACTCCTTTCTTCAAGAGCTGGAGGTTAACTCTGCCCTTGATGTGGGATGGACATGGTGACTCACTTCCACCAAACAGGATGAGAACTTTGAACTGGCCACTTCAAAGACAAGGTGATGAAGGGCACTGTGGCTTCCTGCCTGCCCTCTCTCTGGGGTCACCTGCTCTGGGCCAAGTCGTCTGCCACGCTGCAAGGACATCAGCGGCCCTAGAGAGGCCATGTAGAGAGGAACTGAGGCCTCTGGCCCACAGCCACTAGAGGCCACATTGATGTGAACTTCCAGCTCCACCCCTCAGATGAGGGCGCACTGGCCGCCATCTTGACTGCAGCCCCAAGGCATTGCACATGCCCCAAACACTACCACAGGAGTACAGTGTGTCTGCTCTGCAGGAGTGACCCTACTGGGCCCCCTGACCATGCAGCTGGGAGGGAGCCAAGGTCCCTGCTCAGGTTAGAGGCCCTCCTGAGGTGAGCCAGCAGCTGCGGGGGCTGGAGACGCTGCTTACTCACCTTTCCGGGTCCTGCAGGTGGCGCAGCAGGTGCACACTGTGGGAACGGGGGCAGCGTCAGTGAGGACCCCACCCAGGAGCCAGCCCCAGGCACAGGGAGGCCGAGAGGGTGGGGAGCGCACGGGGCTCCCAGGAAGGGGGTCTCTGCTCCAAAGCACCCGTCCCCTGGTGCCCAGAGCCGGCCTCGCGTCCTGCAGCCCTAGGGCAGGTGTGGGCAGGTTCAGGTATCCTCCAGGAAATCGCTCTAACCACCCACTCCCAGAAGCCTCTCCTCCAGACCGTCGGGTTCAGAAAGTTCTCTGGGACACCTGCCTAGACTAGTCCCTGAACCCCAAGTGCGCAGTGTCTGGCCATCTGGCCCAAGTCCTGGTTGGCTGCTGTCCCGCCTGCTCCCTGGCTGTTGGAGCACATGGTGGGTGCTTGTTAAGGACTTGCTGTGATCCAAATCCACTCTTCTGACTCCCTGTGTGCCCTTTCCTGTGGCCAGCGCTAGGCGTCCCACGCATAGTGCCCCTTCCCTCCCATCCCCTCTGCAGGGAGGGCAACCTCAGTCCCTGCCTGCCCTGTCCCTTCAAGGGCCTGAAGCTCCACACGCTGAGAAGGTGGGGTGGCTGCACTGGCAGCACCAGCCTGGGCGTGGGACACAGGGCAGCACCGTCCTTCTCCATCCCTAGTGGCAGGGCCTGCGTCCTCCTCAGATCACAGGCAGCGCCCCGCGTGCCAGGTGTGTTGGGCACCTGTGCAGGGGGCACGGGCAGCCAGAGAGGGAGGCAGCCTGGGTCCCCTGCCAGGAGCCTGCAGAGCGGAGGGCCGTACAGGCGCCGTCTGCCTCCCTCCGTCACAGCTTCCTGCGCCCCTTCTCAAGACGCACAGGGCTCTTCCTCATTCCCCAGTGGTCCCATGGGTCCAGCAGAGCTCTCCCTCCTGCTGGGGCCTGGCGGCCTTCCTCCTGAGACTCACTCGCTCTCCTCCTCACTAGGCAGCAGCCCCCTGCCTGGAAGGGCGTCTTCCTGCTCAGTGTGTCCCTGCGGGCTTGCCTGTGGCAGGGCACACACTTCTGTCCTGTGTGAACCGTCACCTAAACCTCACGCTGCTCCATCCTTTCTTCACACGGCCTTGCGCGCTCAGGACCCACCCGTGCATCCCATCCGTGGCTCCAGTGTCCGCAGGACTCCGTGGGCACAGCTGCCACCTCTCCCGTGTCTCTCCAGGAGCCTTCCCAGCCTGCACCTGTCCCTGTGCCCTCCTCACAGTGCTGAGCGGCCCGTCGGGATCACCTGGCCCTTTTGTAAAGGAGAAGCTGCACAATCGGCTCCTTAGAGCCCCATGGGGACTGTCCTGAGAAGCTCCGTGGCCAGGCCTGGCCCCGTAGGGACAAGTGTAGCCTCTGCTTGGTGGAGTCCTGGAGTCCAGGCCCAGCTGACAGAAGCCCGTGGCTCCCCAGCTCTGCCCTGCCCCACCCCTGTGGATCTGAGGCTGCGCAGGCTGGGCTGACTTCCTGCCCCTGCCCTGGGCCTGGGCCACCTTTCCTCGCTGAGGAGGCTTTTGTTTTAGGCCCGACAACATCTGGGAAGAGCACCACCCAGCCTCACTGTGGGTCAGCATCTCCCTTCCCTGTCCCCAAACCAGCCCAGGGGAGGGCAGCGCGGAAGTGGCTACTGCAGCACAGCGTCAGCCACCAGGGTGGCTCTGCTGCCAGACGCAGACCAACTCCCAATCCAATCATCCCCAGCCCTTGTCTACCTGGAGCTGGGCAGAGAGCATGCTCTAGACCCAGGAGACATCCTCTTTTAGACACCCAAGCCTCTCACGCACAGTTCTGCTCTGAACACCCACAGGGAGTTCCAGGCAGGAGGCCCGGGTTCCGGTGCTATGCAGCTTTGGCATGGTGCATGACCCCTCTGGGCCTGCTTCCTCTACTTGACTCTATGGGGACAGGGGCTGCAGGGCCAGAGACACCACTTCCTCCCACAGCAGGACTCCAGCTCAGCTCATCCCACCAGGGATCTCCCTGCTGCCGGCAGCCCCCTTCCCTCCTGGACACTTTGGGTGTTACAAAGCGCTCTCCTGGGTGAGATAAATACCAGCATGGGTAACGGTGGTCTCTGCATGTTGGGCCCAGGCCCAGTCCTAAGCACTCCACCTGGCTGGGTCCAGAGTGGCATTCCTGTGTGTAGATGAGGAGTCCATGGTTCAGAGAGGACGAGCATTTGCCCAGATCACGTGCCGGCGAGGGTCCCTGCACTGGCTTCTGGGCCTCTTCTCTAGCTTCCTGAGGCTCAGCAGCTGATCATGGGAGAGGCGATGCCACTCCTGGGCAGTGCCTAGTGGGTCAGAAGCTGGGTGCACGGTGAAGCCTGGTGTGGTGACGACCCGAGGACACTGCCTGGTAGCCAGGAGCCTGTGCCCACCTGCAGCCCACCAAAGGTGACCCTGGTGACAGTCCTTTGCCTGGGCTCCGCCTGAAGGGTTAGACTGTGTGATCCCCAAGGCCCGTCCTGCGGGGTTCTGAGGGGCCCCTCAGGAGATAACCCTCCAGAGGTGCCCCTCACCCTGTGGCTAGGCCCTCTCCGCAGCTCTGCCCTGTTTCTAGGATTAAAATACCTCTCACCAAAAAATCCAGTCTTCCAACCCGTGGAGGAGCACAGGAGACATCCCAAGGGCACCTGGGGGCTCTTGGCTCTGACTGAGTCCCTGTTCCCAGGGCAGCACAGGGCTCATGCTCCACACCCCTGAGGCTCAGCCAGGTCTGCAGGACGGAAGCCTGCTGCAGGCTAGGCCTCAGCACACGGAGGTCTCGGGGGCCGGGGGTCCTGTGGGGATGCTTAAGGCAGGACAGACACCAGGCACATGTCCTGGCCACAGACTGCACAAGAATGGCCCATTCCCACCCCTTATGCCTCAGAGGGGAGAGCTGACCCAGCACCACCCCCACACCCCACGTGGACCCTCTGCTGAGAGCCCAGGCTGCCCTCAGCTCCTGGGATCATCTGGAACACTGTGCACTCTGGCCCAGTGCTCCACCCCCGTCCATGCCCCGCTGTCCAGGAGCCTGAAGCCCACAAATATGGGTCAGATGCCTGGGGTCCCCAACGCATGGCCCCTCTACAGAAACCCACATCTGATCTCACCCGAGACCTACGGAGACCCTGGGGGGTGGGCCAGTCCGGGGACAGGGCCTGCAGTGAATGGGTGGCCGGGGATGAGTGGGGAGAGCAGAGAGCGAGGAAAGGAAGAGGGCTGCCGCCCAGGTGGGGTGAAGAGGAGGCACTCAGGTGCTCAAGATGGTGAGACCCTGGGAGTGTGGAGCCAGAGAGGAATAGACCAATGGGGGAGCTCCAGGGCCCCGTCCATCTCTCTGTGGCCTCGAGGCTTGGCACTACTGCCCCCCCCAAAATTCCAGGGGATCAAATGGAGGCAGGACCCTCTGATGCAGGTGACCTAATTGCCCCTGAGCTGATCCCAGACCAGCTTCCAGGTGAGTGGCACTGCCCCTTGGCTGGCCTGGCCCGGTCTGATGGACACCTCTGCTGGTGGCAGGGCCAGGGGCCAGGGCCAGAGTGCACGGCCCATGGTGGACAGGCCTCTCAGAGAAGTAAGGCCATGGTAGAGGGAGAGGGGCAGTGGAGCGCACCTACCTGAGCTGCTGGCGCTCTCAGAAGCGCTCCGTGACATCTTGGGCTGGCCGTGTTTGCCGCTGGCCCGCCCGGGCCCAGGTGGAGGGGGGCCGGAGGGAGCAGGGGCGCCATCTCCCCTGATGGTGCTGAGGTCCTGCATGCTGAAGCTCCGGAGTCTCTCTGACAAGGCACCCTGGCCCTGGGCACAACACAGGGGGACACACATCAGAGGCTAGACATGCCAGGCCAGGAGTCCTGACCTGAGGGCCAGCGAGGTGGGAGTCAAGGCCTAGATGGGCCCTGCAGAGGGCAGTGCTGGACACAAGACGGTCAGCCCGGCTCGGCCCAGACACCCACAGAGAGCTGGGGACCCAAGCAGACCCCACGAGAGGACCACGCCTCAGGACCTGCCACCAGGGGCCACGCGGCTTCCCTGGACTCGCACAGGAAGGTCCTCATCCAGCTGCGTCTCCTTGGTTCTCAACACACAAGCATCTCATCAGAAAGCCAGACCCTGACGTGCTCAGTCCTCGGTCTTTTCAAGGGAAATAGAACAAGGTTTTTAATGTATGGTGATATTCGCCTCTTTTGTCGGTGCGGCTGTCATTGTTCATGAGGCTTGTTGTTCACGCTGTGCGTTTGCACTTCGCAAAATATCCACAAGGTGCGGCCGGGAAGGAAAATGGTCTATTTTTAAAACCCACTGATCATGATCACTTCCTTGTCTGAAGGAGCCACGGAGTGAGTCCTGGGAGGGGCATCATTATTTTAAGAAATCAGGAAAAATCATTATACTGGCTGTGTAGGAGGAGCATCTCGATGGAGAGTAAGGTGCTCCTGGTGGCACCCTAGGGCCAGCCTCACCCAGCTGGGCCTCAGCTGGGTGGGACAGGGCTGGCAGGAGACTGAGAAACGCCTGGGGTTGGGGAAGGGTGATGGGCAGCAACGCTCAGGCAAGTCAGTGAACTGAGGCAGCTCAGAAGCCCGTGCTGATGGCCTCAGGTGCCCGTGGTGGTGGGGACAGGAGAGGTAGTTTACTTGGATAATGGAGGGAAGAATGGTTCTGGAGGTCCACAGGAGGTGGGGACAGTATAGCACACAGAAATAACAGAGCCCAAATCAGCAAGAACTGGTCAGAGCTGCTTGGGCAGGACTCAGGCCTCTGTGAGTTCAATGAACAAGCCCGGGCCCACGCTGCGAGGCAGGGGCTGTCAGAGATGGGGGGAGGGCTTGCAGAGATCTTTTTCTTTTTTCCTTTTTTTGTGGGGGTAACAGGGATGCTTAACCACTGAGGTATGTCCCCCCGGCCCATTTTATTTTTATTTAGAGACAGGGTCTTGCTAAGTTGCTGAGGCTGGCTTTGAACTCTTGATCCTCCTGCCTCAGCCTCCCGAGTGACAGGGATTACAGGCCTAATATTTTTTCATGTTATTTAATAAAAAATCATAACAATATAATTAAACCAACCAAGCACACTGACTCGCTGACGTCGAAGTTGCAGACAGGATAAAGAAGCCAAGGCAGGAGCATATGGAGGGCTGACAGGGGGCTAGGAGAACCATCAGGGTCAATAAAGCAGCAGTTCTTCAGAAGGTGAGATAGCAGCTCCCAACCTACCAGAGTACAAAAACTGTGTGCTGCAAACCAACAGTAACCCAAAGAAAACTCTAAATAATCAGAGACCAACAACCAGGTGCGCCAGCCCAAGCCACGCAGTGCTTGGAGAATATTACATGAACTAAGACTCTGCTCTAGATGGCAGGAGGCAGGCTCTCAGGCCCTACTTCCTGGGGCCTCATCCAAACCTCACAGCCAGCAGCCATGGTTAGCTCACTTTACCCAGAAATGTTTCTGTGACATGTGTAATGTATTTCTTTATTTTTGTGGTGCTGGGGATGGACCCCAGGGCCTCGGGCATGCTAGGCAAGCGCTGAACACTGAGCCACACCCCAGCCTGCCATTTGGAGTTTGGAAGGCTGAAATTGATTCTGGAAATGTGAGCAGATATTCGGATAATTATGCCTGAGTGCAGCCGTGTGAGGCTGACAGCAGATCCAGGCGGCTGCTCGCCGGTGCACTCTCTCCCTATTATTCACTCACACACTGAGCAGCAATTTATTGGGCACTTTCCATGGCAGCACCCTGCATCGGGTGTTAATAAGAAGGGGCAAAAAGACAGCTCAGTGTCCGACAAAGTATAAAAAGAGAAAAGTGCAAATAAGAACCCAAGTGCACATCAGAGGCCACAGGAAGAGGAGACGAGGACACAGCTGTGGGGAGGCGGGGTCCGTACTCCACTGGACTGTGGCACAAATGGTGCCTTCCGCCTCTCCACTTCAGAGCCCATCTGCAGAGGAGCTGCTGCCCAGCTGGGTGCTGGTGAGGACTCAGTGAGATGACCCCTTTAGGCACCCCTACAGAGCCCCCCACTACGTTCTGAGGCACTTAAGCTGCTGTTGAAATTGGAGAAGGAGAAGATCGTTCTGGCCCAGAAGACCAGGAGGGGCCCCAGGAACCCAAGCCCATATAAATGGCCAGGGACAGACTCCATCAGCGTGGCTGCCGGTTCTTCACATGCTCAGATCTGATGGAAGCAGGAGTGGGCCTCACAAGTGTCCATCTGCTCTCCCAGGAGCCAGCCAGTCCAGGTCCAATGTCACCAGAATTGCAAAGACTGACGGGGCAGGGCCAAGGATACATAGGACAGGAGTAGCTCTCTATCCACCCTGTCCCCTGAGGAAATCAGAAGGCTCCTGAAAACGAGTTAGCACCGTGTCCCAATTTCATGGGCAACAGTTGCCTTCTTAGATGGTAGTTAAGATGGCAGCGTGCCAGAAGCCACAGTCCTTAGACACGATGGACTCTGGCTGCACAGGGCAGAGCCACCTTGGCTAATGGTTGCGCTCAGGGCTGCTCTTATTGCAGCCGGGCGCTTCGTCTGGCCAAATGCCGGTCACTTAACTCCAGCACGGTTAGTTGCTGTGCTTCCCCTCCAGCTTGGCTACTGCAGACTTGGACCCCTACTCTGCTTGATGGACACCAGGGTCAGGGAGCTGAACAGATGTCCGTGTCACCATTCATTGAGCTGCTGCCTGAGTACAGTGCAGCAGGAGACCCCACCCCATTGGATGCATCTGCAGGTCCCAGACAGCATCCTGTGAGGGGGGGGTCTTGGGTGTGGCCACAGGAGTGCATGAGAGTGTCAGGGGGTGCAGAGTGAGAGGCCAGGAATCCTGGGGTCCTGCCCTTGAACTGGCCTTGGAGGGCTTGGCTAGGTGAAGATGTGGACCAGGCGGAAAGAGAAGCATTTCTCAGCCTGGGTCACCCCTGAGCAGCACCCTCCACCCACCACAGTGGGGGTCTGTGCAGTTTTGTGTGCTACAGGGTGGAGGCCACGCAAACATCTGACCAAGGAGCCGTGCTTCCCAGGCCTCCGGGCAGGCGGCTGGGAGGAGTGGGCCTCACTCTTCACCACACCCCCTCTTGTCCCTGAAGAATTTGAGAACGTGTGTTCCCTTTAAGGAAGCAGTATGGTTCACCCGTCAGTCCTCAAGGCCATTCTGGGGTCCCCATCTCATGAGCACAGGCTTTGTGTGACCCTCACATATGCCCCTATACCAGACACTGGCAGGGAGGGTTGGAAACAGCAAAGGAAACAGTTAAAACAGAACCGAGAGGGAGGACATGGGGTTTCCACCAGGGACCAACTGCCCCCCTCCAGGAGGCGCTCGTCCCGGGGAACCACGAGCCACAGGAGAGGCACCACACAGCATGGGCCTATCCACACCACGCGGAATCTAATGCTATACGGGCACAGTGACGGTAATGGCAACCGGTTTAGTGGTCAGCAGTTGGCAGCAGCCACTAGTAAGACCAGGTCCCTCCCGCGGCTGGACAGGTTAGTACTCCCCCCACTGGCGCCCGCGCTGACAGTGAGGCCTGCTCTGCACACGCCCCCCAGAGCCAGGCAGGAGCCCCCTCATGCTGCACAGAGGCCAGCCTTGCTCATGAGGAAGATGGGACCCACCAGCCCGGGAGGGAGTCAGGCGCCCACCACGGCAGCCCCGGCAAGTCCAGGCAGCAAGGGAGGAAACCCTGGAGGTTACGCAGGCGTTAGACACTACCTAATGACACACCGGCAGGCACCGGAGGACCACAGGTTCACAAGCACCGCACACATGGGGCAGGAGGCCACCGCCGCTGAGCCAGACCAGGGCCACAGGGACAGCTGGGCCTCAGCCACAACTGGGTCAGCTTGGGGTTAGTCACACCTCTCCACAGGGTTACCTGCCCTTCCCTGTGGTCCAGAGAGGAGGCAAAGTGAAAGAGTCGAGCCACCTGATGAAGGGGAAGAGGGGACACAAATGAAGAGGCAGCCCTAGCCGTGGGCACAGATGACACGTGGAGTGGCCAGAGCCACGTCCGCCTCCTGCCCTCCTTCCCGGCTCCCTGGTCAGTGCTCAGCCTGCTGGGGTTCCAGAGCTGCTCCCTAGATCCCTGGTCACCCTCAGCCCCCGTGGGATGCCCAGGGCTGGTCACCCTCTCAGCCCCCCTGGGACACCCAGGGTTGGTCACTGTCTCCCTGGTCACTCTCTTAGCCCCTGCTGGGATGCCCAGGGCTGGTCACTGGCTCCCCGGTCACTCTCTCAGCCACACTGGGATGCCCAGGGCTGTCACTGGCTCCCTGGTTACTCTCTCAGCCCCCCTGGGACACCCAGGATTGGTCATTGGCTCCCCGTCACTGGCTCAGCCCTGCTGGGATGCCAGGGCTGTGGTGTCCTGCATAGGGGTGGGGTGGGGGCCATGGGGTCTGCCCAAGGAGGTCAGCTCTAGCTAGGTGTGGGCCAGGAATAAGGACAGCAATACATGACGGGCGGTGGGGGGAGGTCACACTGCTGGCTGGACACTGGGCCATCAGTGGAGGCCTCTGCACAGGTGGATGGGCAGGGCCAGGGTGTGAGCGTGGGAAGCCCAAGACACCTTCAGAACACTGTGTGGCCCCACCTGGAAGAGGAGGCCCTGGTGCGGGTCACGGGATAGGAATGGAAAACCGGGCTTCGGTGGCAAGGTGTGTTCTTTGACCAGAACCTGAACACATCCCTGGCGGGGGCGGGGAGGTAAGCAGTGGGTGGGTATTGAAAGCAGATGTTAGAACAGTCAAAACCTTCTGGACACTTAAGGCCGCACACACGGAGGACT